TGTAGAATATATATATATATATATATATATATATATCATAATATATATATATATATATAAATATATATATATATATATATATATATATATATATATATATATATATATATATATATATATATGTCAGGAATATATATATATATATATATATATATATATATATATATATATATATATATATATATATATATGTCAGGAATATATATATATATATATATATATATATATATATATATATATATATATATATATATATATATATATATATATATATATATATATATATATATATATATATATATATATATATATATATATACCAGACATGCATGAAAAAATGATGAAACATTGTTTTCTCTCTATGAATTACTAGGATGAGGAGTGATTATTATTTGCATTATTTATAATTAGACTAATATCCTCATCTTTGTTATTACAATATTAATGTTTTAGTCATAACGTCCTCTGAACTTTTTCAGGTGTGAACAGATATTCAAGTTAGAGGGTTACTGAATGAGGTTGTTATAAGGGTATTCAAGGAAGGTGTAAGAGGTGTATATTATGAGGATATGTAGAATAGATAACTATCGACCTGAGTAACCTTCAAGGAATTTCAAACTGAAGCCTTTATCCAATCAATAGTGATTTGGTGTAGTTTGTACTTATTCTACTGTTCTCATATAGGGATATCTTGTTTTGGTTACTTCTTCAGTTATTCTTGCCATTGAGTCACAGTATGTCCATATTATCCAGTCCAGGGTTTGAACTCCTAATTATTATGCCACCAAATTGTTTAACCAATGCATTAATCCTCGAGGCTCTTGTCTTGTGGGACAATCCTGAAGCTAGAATTTGAAGCCGTAAGTCTAATGTTCTTTTTGCTTCCTCTTCTGGTGCAGTCTTGTTGTCAAGCTTGACCTCCTTTACTGCTGATTCGCTTTCTTTTATATTGCTTTTCTGTTTTTTTTTCCATTGCAGTCTTTTTTGCCATGTGCCATTGTTATTATTAGATACTGGTATTTCTCATGCATGATCTATCTTTCTTAATAACTCAAATATGGTGTTTATATCTGTCATATAGGAATAAAGTATTGCTGCCAACATAGATCGCCAGAGAGCAAGCACTGTCGACCTCATCTTGAAATAATTAGATCATGTGACGAGTAAAGGAAACATGTATATATGGGAATTAGCGGTGTCTGGCCGAGTATTGTTCAAAGATGTTACTATTATTGTATCTTTGATTTAAAAAATCTCTCCTTCAAACGGCCATTACAAAAATATCTATGCTAGGCCCACTGAGCAGGATGCCATAGCCTAGCATATGTGCTAATTCTATCAAACATTTGATTCTTTAGTGTTTTATTTTTTTGTCTAGTATTTTTATCTCATTCCACACAGGTTGGTGAGCACTCTTGATGATATAATAATCCCTAGGCTGGGAATTGCAGATATATTGAGATTTGACGGAATCAGGATGAGCAATAACTGAACAATTAACCAAGATGAGATATGGGAAGAGAATAAGCTCTCCTCATTTTAATAGATTGAATAAATGGTTCAGTTTGAAAATTCTCTGAAGAAGGCTGTAGGGTATAATGGCCAAAGTGTCGTGGTCATAAGAACAAAGAGAAGGATATTAGTCTGACTGTAAACACGAAAGTTTATTTTGCTGCTAATGTTCACTTCACAAGGCATAACTCTAGTTTTCCCTGCATTCTATTGCATTAGCAGATACATCTTGACAAATGGCCCTGGAGTGGATTATTGAGCACTTTTGGTAAACCTATCATTTCACCATTGATTACTCAGGTTAGAATTTAATTTGTACTTGAGTCCCAGGGAGCTATCCTTCCATGCAATATCTTTCCTTTGGGAAGTGGCTAAGGTTAATTATTGGTCCCTGAGGCATTCCCAGATAGGAAGTGTTGAGTGGGGGTTGAAAAGTATTTATCCCTGGTCCCATGTTTGCATGGGATTTCCACTTTAAACTTAGCATTTGGTTCCAGGTGTAGAGATAAATATCTTTCTCCATAGACTTTTACCTACCTGAGCAGTAATAGCATGAAGCTGTTACCCTGATAGTCACCCTTGACAAGAAAATGCCAATGAAGATTTGATTAACCCTATCATGTTTCCAAGTTAAAGAGAAATCAATTTCATTTTTGTGCAAAGAATTTGGAGCTTAAAGATGCTGTCTTTTTGGAAGATTGAAAATACTTAGCATGTCTTCTGAACTCTACAGAATATGAGTAACTTTTCTCCTGAGATTTTTTTTGAATCAATAAAATTAAATTTAAGTTGGTATTTTACTATTTTTTTAATTTTTTTCTCTGTAAGTTATTGCATCAAAATGAGTGGCACATTTGAAACCAACTGATTTTGTTACTGTCGGTAACAAAATCAGTAAGTCTCAAGTTGTTCTCATTCTCGTACATGCACACATTTGCCCATAAAACGGTGGGATGCAAATAGTAAAAAATAATAACGTGGGATATCCCAATTATTATTGGGACTATCGAACTTAAAGATCTACATTTAGAAAATTGGAATAAACTAAAAGCCGAGTATGCCATTTCTTCAGAAATCTGAGTTGCTTTGCTTTGCAAATATTCTATGAAAGGTGTTTTTTTTTTTTTTTGTTAGGTTGTGTGACTTGATGGAGAACACCCCTAATGCAAAATCTTCGAAAACGAAAAAAACGTGCAGAAGAAGGGATGATGATGATGATGATGATGATGATGATGATGAGGAAAGAAGTGATAATAATAATAATAATAATAATAACAACAACTTTTTACTCATAGATCCTAGAGGGGACTTAGCAATTACTCTCTGGCAAGATGATACTACACACGCACATATGCATACACACACACACACACACACACAACCACCACCACCAATAATAATAATAATAATGATAATAACAACAACTTTCTTTACTCATAGATCCTGCAGGGGACTTAGTAATTACTCTCTGACAAGATGATACTACACACGCGCGCGCGCACACACACACACACACACACACACACAACCACCACCAATAATAATAATAATAATAATAATAATAATAATAAAAGAAACACAAACATACAAAAAAACAAAAGAAAATAACCGTGTATCCAGAGACATCATACACATTATTATTATTATTATTATTATTATTATTATTATTATCATCATCATCATCCGCTCTATTGAGAAACCATTAACAAGGCAAAAAGTAATACGCAAATTTTAAATCTAGCTTCTTACTGTGTAAAACAATGTGTACAGTAAACTGTATACACTTCCAGATTATAGACACAAAAAATAGGGCGTCTATACGTGGGATAAAACGAAACGTTGTCATTAACGATCTCTAATCGCATTGATTGACCATGACTATTACTGTGCGGTGTATTCAAAAACTCTCCATGGTTCCTCAGTACTTGTGACCTTGTGCCAAACTAAGGTAGGCTTAAAAAAAAAAAGAAACCACAACATAGGCGCAAAAAAATACTTTACTTACATCACGCGCACACACTGGATGTTGTGTACACAATGACAAAAAAATTATGTATTGTAACTAAAACACATCTCCCGATTAAAAAGGAACAGAACACGATTGACACACTCATTCAAATAAATAATAATAATAACAACAATACACTAGGATTTGATTAAAAAAAAACGTACAAAAATAAATAAAAGATCGTAAGTTTCATTACGGCGTACTGTAAAAAAAAGAAAAAAAATCAATAAAATTTGATTTTCCTACCATTCAACGAATAACTAACAATAAATTTACTAAATTATTAATTACTAATTTTTGGTAATTAAATTGGACAAAAGACGACAATGCATTTATAATTTATACTACAACTACACTAATGATGTTTTTATGTATATTTTCGTCTCCAAGAATTTACAGAGAATTGTTATAATTTTCTCCTCGCAGGGTTGGAATGGTAATGAAAGAGGAAAATACGATTCTTTGCCTCATTTCCTTGTGCGTAGAAAAACCCCTAAAACACAAGGAAGAGAAATAACAACGAAATTAAAATTAACAACGGAATTAGCATCTTCTTATTTGATTTGATATTTGTATTTTAGCTTCATTAAAAAAAAAAATAAATTCGCTTCTTGATTTTTGCTAAGGTTTCTTTAAGGATGTCTTTTTATTTCGGGTTTCGGTACAGACAATACAATACAATAGGCATCATTTTAAAAATTACAGTGAAAGATAGACAAAAAAGCTGCATACATCATACTACATCAGCATAAATTTATTTCATGTTTATCACCTCGGAATGACATTTTTTTCCTTCTTGTTAAAGCTGTAACATCGCATTATTTTAAATGTTGTTTATGTTCGTGTACTCTAAAAAAGATTTTACACAATGAAGTTAAAAAGTTAGACAGAGGGAGGAAGAAAAAAAAAATAACAGACGATTTTTCTCTACAGAAATGGTAATGTACATTTCGCAAAGGTACATTTTTTTTGGTGGGGGTTATGTTATATAAATAAATAAACCACCCAACAAACAAATAAATAAACATGTGCTACTCCGCACCATGTGATTTTTTTTAAAATATAAAATGTGAATTTTACGAATACGCAGCAAGAAAAATCAACAATAAAGGCTTTTTTTGACAGGCTATGCATTTTTTTAAAAAAACAGAGACATTTTTAAAAAGGGATTAAATTAAAAATTCCTTTTCTTGTCTTTTCATATTTTAATTTACAAGTCTTCTTTGTGAGACAAAGAATGTCATTCGTAGTACTAAAATAAAAATAAAATATTTTTTTTTACTTTTTACAGTCTCTAAATCTTTCTCTTCTTGGGAGAACTGAGTTAGATAAATGGGGGAATAATTTGAAACATAATAGTTACTAGAAATTGACCCCCCTATTTTGTGCCCAGTTTTGTGTACTAGTACTAATATTCATTCATGTGTATACACTGTGTAGAAAATCGTTAAAAAATAGGTTTGCTGTTTTATGCACTTGCCTTTGACTCGAATTCCTTCAAGTAGTTCGAGGCGAACATGTCCATTGACGATGTCTCCAGGATGGTAGACATTACACTCCTCAGGGAAGACAATGTCGAAATAACTGATTTTACCCATGACACAAAGATTGTATCAGCCTTGACAGGCCAGCAGCAGACTCCAGCTGCGTAAAAATTCTGTGTCTAAGTGATGTGTTGTTTGGTTGTACAATTCTCATGGGTTGCCTTCCTCTTTCTTCTGTCCTGACTGTCTGACTGTCCGCAGTAGGTGCACGTTTATCTCTGTTCGTGTGTTTGTCTATTCATGGATGTCTACGTGTAGGGGAGCGCCTCTGCATTAAAAATAAATTTGTTTGTGGGTGCGTGAGAATGGGATTAAGTATCGATTTGATTTGGTTTACCCACAGGTGTCTATTTTTTTTTTTTTTAGTGTTTGGGGTAAAAAATGAAAACACAAATTTGTACACGCGGCAAAACTTTAAATTTATTGAATTAATTAGTAATTACTTACTGTTTCATACCTTGGTGTAAAAAACGATACAAATATTTAACAACAACAACAATACACGCACCTACGTCGAAACTTCGACGTGGTGTAGTGCCAGTGGTAAGCAAGCTTGTCTTGCTGAAACTCTTGCTTGCTCAATCAGTTACGACTGTGTAGTGGTGGGTTCGATCCGTAATCTCGGCCTTGTGGTGCATCTTAATCTTGGCCTTGTGCCGCATCTGAGTTTAGTAAATCACTAGGATGAAACAGCTAAAAATATAGGATGAAACCTGTAAAAACGAAGTGCATGCATATGTATTTTTACAACATTCTTTAATTGTATTGTTTCATTACATAAATTCTTTTAACCGTTTTTTTACTTTTATTATGAAACGGCTAATAAAGCAGCTAAAAATATAAGGAATATCCATCTATGTGTGTATTTAGTGGATACACGTGTGTGTGTGTGCCTGTGTAGTGGATACACGTGTGTATTGTATTAGTAATGCACCTATATTGTACACTAGTATTAATGGTACACGTGTATATATATATATATATATATATATATATATATATATATATATATAATTTATAATATATCTCCGAATGTAATGAGAACGAAAACAATAAATAAATTCTAACGTTCACAGCATTAATTCAAAAGAGGGCTCAATACTGATAGTATAGCAATAATTATTTATTATAATTTTTTCATATAGACAAAAAAACAACATTTAATTTTTAAACATTTCATCATTTAACTTTTTTTTAGAGATCCCGGCATCTATCAGAGATGAAATTTAAATTTTTTATTACTGCATTATTCTAAAATTTTAACACATCTGCAGATAGCTATAATGTCAATAACTGAGCACAAATAGGTATTAATTAAAAAAAAATATTAATTAATGACTAATATTATCCATAACTACATGTACAAAAATGTGTTTTTTTTATAAAAGTTTAAAAAAATAAAACAAATACGTAAAAATGTGTATATTGTAAAAAAATTCCCTTTTTCACAATTAGCTATTTGTGATACGTTATAATGCTTATTACCTATACAATAATTATACTGAATAATTTTTTTAAACGTTAAAGTATATTTAATCATGTCTGTAAATAACTGTCGGTCTCAGACCATTTCATTATATATATATATATATATATATATATTATAAATTAATTGATCTAAAATATGTTTTTTTTCCGCTACACAGTTCTAACCATGTTTCAAAAATGTAAGCTAAATATAAATATATATATATATATATATATATATATATATAGAGAGAGAGAGAGAGAGAGATGTCTTATTGAATAATTCTGACAAGTTTTATATATATATATATATATATATATATAATGCAAGTTTCTATTTTGCCTTTACACTTGACTAAACCAGTCAGATTTCCCAAATTACATATCGCGTCTTTGTCCTGCAAAGGAGGGACTCAAGCTTGAAGTCTGTCAGAGGTGTAGTGGGCCCGTGGCGATTACCACTTGTTGAGGGTTCATGGCGTGGCTGTTATGTTGTTGATAGAAGTCAGATGTAGAAGAAACGCAAGTAAGGTTCAGATACTCCTGCCCGCCGAGCCCAACTACATAAAAAGGTTGGACTCTGATTAAGTCCAAAGAAGAAGGTAAAGAAAGCAAACAAAACACAAGACCGATAATATATGTATATACAAATATATATTAATAACAAGTTACAATACATGGAAACAGTACAAAGGACGATGTGTAGGTGAATATTCTGTATGTGCGTGCGTGTGTGAATATTCTGTATGTGCGTGCGTGTGTGAATATTCTGTATGTGCGTGCGTGTGTGTATATTGGGCTTAGCGTGTTTCCACGCTATCCCTTGTTAGCGTCTACATTTCGAGGTTGATAGCTGAAATCCTGAAGGAAAAAGAGATAGAGGTGAAAAGTCAGCGGCTATTTATAGCCAGGGAAGAGAGACCCCTGGTGAAAGGGTTAACGGAGTGAAGGAGGAGTTAACTCCGACAGAGGGCACAATATTTTTTTTAGGTTTTATCAAGTACGTAGGCCGGCAGACGAAATAAATTATTTTTAAAATAAACGGAATATCTACTCAAACACGGGTATCTGAACATGTCAGCGTGCTTTAAATGCAAAATAGAACTTTCCTTTACTGTGACACTCTTCAGAGCCTAGTGGTAAATGCACGCCGGCTCATATATATATATATATATATATATATATATATATATATATATATATATATATATATATATATCCAATTGAAAATAGACAAAACTTGTTTATATTATTCAATGAAACATTCTCTCTCTCTCTCTCTCTCTCTCTCTATCTATCTATCTATCTATCTATATATATATATATATATATGTGTGTGTGTGTGCGTGTGTGTGTGTTTGTGTGTTTGTATCTATAAACATTATAATTTGAAAATATAACAGTTCGCGACATCTATCATTAATTTTTTTTATTGTATTATTCTAAAATTTTAACGCACTAGTAGATAGCTATTAATGTAAATAACTAAGCACAAATAGTTATTAATTAAAAAAATATCAATTAATGTATAATATTATCCATAACTACCTGTACAAGAATGTCGTTTTTGACAAAAGATTAAAAAAAATAATCATTAATATGTAAAAAATGCGTATATTGTTGAAAATTCCTTTCCCACAATATAACTATTTGTGCTGTTATAATGCTTATTAACTAAACAAGAATAATACTGAATAATTTTTTTAAACGTTAAAGTATATTTAATCAGATCTCTCTAATAAATGTCACGTTCTGTGACATAAGAATGGTGATATAAAAATTACCAAAATAATTTTCCTTTATCTTTTTAAGAAAAACGTTAAAATTTAAATTTAAATAAAATTATATAATATGCGACTCCAGTTGTGAAATTCACCCCTTATCAATGCTTAGATTTTTTTCTATTGCTAAAAAAAACATTTTAAAAAGTTTTTTTTTTTTCTTATCTCTGATTGTATATGTCGCCAATTGCATTAGATTACATTCAGTTGCGTGTCAGGATGTAGACATTTAACTGCACCCCTACTCGAACGGAATGTTTCTCAAATCTGTGTTTAAAATGTCCGTCTCATGCTTATATGAGATTAAATTGCTCTAACCCCTTCGACATTTACTCTTTTAGTTACGCCTCAGGTCCGGTATTAACACCCTCCTTCTCCTAAAAGAGAGGTACCGCCTGGCGGAACGGTACTCCTGGGGCTCAAGCACTTTTACATAATATTATGCGATACTGCCTGGATCATGTATGTATGTGTGCGTACACTGTACCGTACATATGTACACATACACCGAAAACTTTTCCTAGATCTTAATTTTGTTTTAACTGTTAGTATCAAATGAGTGTGTCTATATATTAAGCTTAACTTAATCTGGAACAAGGCCACAAGTGAAGGGTATCCATTGAATACAATAGTAATATCTTGCTAGGCTCAATTTCCTGATTGTTTATTCACTTATTAAGACGCTTACGATACTGACTAAGAAAGCTAAGCATGATGGCGTAAGGGAGGTACAAAATGGCGGAATAGATAGCGGCTCGGATTGAGGAATCGGAGAGCCGAGTTCACTTAAGTAGTAATACCCTTGGAAAAGGTATGAACCCTCCTTCTTATGGGTAAATAGCAGGACAGACGGGGTTCTATAGCCTTGGATGGCAACTGGTCAGAAAGAAATGGCAACCTACCGCGGGGAAAAATATCTGCCTCGTCAGTCATGTATCGAAAGATAAATGATCGTCTAAGCGTGTATCACGCATGCATAACTGACAGCAGCTAAGCCTAGTCCGCGAAAAAGCGTTGCTAATCTTCGCGCTACGATATGCACCTTCTCTAGTTGGCTATTTATTCCATAATTTCGGTAATAAAACGATATAATGTTCGACTCCAGGTGTATAGTATAAAGGATGTGAAATGCATTCAACACATCAATGTTTAGGCGTTATTAAGTTATTCTTTCGGACAGCTAAACTCTTCTCCATAACCTGTTTGAGCGTATTAGCTTTTCATGGCAATATTTGGGCCTATATAGTCTCTTCCTTTTCTCGGATATGTCACTCTTGGTATTCATCAACGAATTTCGAACTGAATCTTGTCCATTGAGTGGCGCCTCACCTCTGCTCTCTCTCTCTCTCTCTCTTTGCACGTACGGAGTCCTTTCTAAGATTTTGAATTTGCAACTGCCAATTTCCTTTTTGTTTCTATCTATCTATCTATCTATCTATCTATCTATCTATCTATCCGTGCTTGCTTGTTTGCTAAAATCGTTGTATATTTCTCGTTCAGGTAAAAGTCAAAATATTGAATAATGCTAATTTTCAATGCAATCTCTTGGAAGATTGCCATCTCTGCAGTCTTTCGGGCACTTGTAAAATAACTTTAACACGTTGTTCGATTGTTAATCTTTCCATAATTGAAATTGCCAAAGCCTTAAGTTGTTAAATCTGAAAGAAAAAGAAAAAAAATCATTAGATGCTTAAACTTAATTCACATTTAAAATCAGGCCAAGTTATTGGAACACCCCTGTTTGCTTCAACCTATACACTCCCTTTTCTACCATTGTAAAAAGAACCTTGGCATCAAAGGAAATTA